TCAATTTTACAGATAATGAGCTACATGATACCAAGTCAAACTCATGGAGAGTGGTGGTGCAGAGGTTAGAGAAGGTGAGCCTGTGATCAGAAGGTCACCAGTTCAATTCCTCGGACCGACAACATCGAAATGTGGGTGGAAAAGGTGCCTCCACCCTCATTTGCCTCACTCTGGGCCCTTGAGCAAGGCCCCCAACCCCAATCTTCTGCTTCCCTGGGCCCCATGCTCCACACAGAGGGCTGTGGTAGCTCGGTGGTCTGTGGTTGAGTCAGGAAGGGCATCCAGTGTAAAAACAATTGCCAAGGCTTCATGCGACTCAGTTTGCTGTGGCGACCCCTGACGAAGGGAGATGCAGGAAAACAAAAACAAAGAAACAACCAAAAAACAAGTCAGACTCATCACATACTCATGCACTAATAGATTGCACAAAAAGTTTGGAAATTTTACCATTAACTGCTGGGTTCAACTGTGTTTTTTTTGTTAGCAAAATATCTCCGGAACCATCAAATGAATTTTAATGAAACTCTCTACAACTGATTAACATTTGGAGTCAACCAGATTCAAAACGTCCACCACAGCAAGTCAGCCCTGCAAACTCAGAAGTGGCTGTAACTCAGGCAGCTTTATAGATATTCAGCTAAATTTTAGTTATTTTTTTAGTAGCTGAGATTTATTCCCAACACATATGTTGAGCATTAATTGCTCATGGAAGTTTCTTGTTTAAAACTTTGACATGAAAGGTGGCAGGCGATTGGTATTACAGGAATGCAAAAAAATTATTTTTGTACCTTTTAAACACTCAAATGTCTCTCAAAAGCCTCAAACAAGATTCAAACAAGTACATTTATTAATATTCATCACAAAAACGCATGCTACATATTAAATGTAACACTTAAGATAATTTTAAAAAATCCAGTTGTGCGCTCTTAGTAGTTTGTACCTTAAAATTGGACAACGGTTTACAGTAATTACATAAAGACTGAATATTGTACCTTACTGGAAACATTTTTGATGAATGTACAGAGTAAAACCCTGCAGACCCAAAAATCCTTTGCTTTGCTAAACAAACTGTCATAGCTTGATATGTCAGTGGAACCACATGCAAAAAGGGAACTGGTTGAAAGGCACATAATCAGAGTGGTTTCTCCCACACGTGTCTTTTCACAGACTTTCTTGATGCAGCCTGTCCTCAACATGTCTTCACTGTGAATGGTGGGAATGAGAAGTGATGGCACCTGCTCACTGACATCGGCAATGCCGGAAACTCACAAGTACACAGACACATTCAGACACTTTTTTTGCATATGATGCAATCAACATGTCAGAGGATCTGTGAAATTAGCCAACAGTGAAATGCCTAAAAAAAAAACCAAATTGATGGTGTAAACTCACTAATCAGAAAAAATAAAAATCTCATGGAAAGCAATGCAAATGGTTCTGAATCTGGATTTTATTTTTTGCGCTCTGGTAAAGATTAACGAAAAAGTCTAAACCTTTGACTGAATAGATATATATGTGTAAGTATAAAACTTGCTAATATTACCCAGCCACTTATGACACAGCACATAATTAAAGTCATTACAGGTGATTAATTAAACAATAGTTGAAATTAGGTAGAAAATGGAAAATGGTAAGAGCAGTTTAATTCCTGATCTTGTTTAATTTTTAATAAGCTCACTTTGATGGGAACGCCACTTTATAAATGGAATTCATGTGAACACTGCAGATAATTAAAGAACTTTTGCTATTATCTGAACCTCGATACATCTGCTGGGGGGGTGAGATCATCAAGCAAACATAACAGGATGGATGTTTAAGCGACTTCCCCTAGCGGTTGATAAGCTTTGAGTAGTGTGATAAACAGAGAGGAATACATTAAGAAACCCAGGAGACTGGTAATCTCAAGAGGGATCAGCTCATCATAAGGACTCTGGTATGTTGTTGTTCTCTGCCTCAGGAGGAGCGAAAACTCAACAAAACCCACCGTTGTGTCAAAAGTTTTACAGAAGAGCGATGCAAGAAGAGAAGAGCGTCACAAAACACCCATGTTTTAGCTACTTTGTATGTAAAAACCTATGTGCTGCTGTCGGTTCTGCAAAACAGAACAGAATAAAGCTGCGTTTGACTGCACATGCGACTACTGGTGATCATTTACTGGCTACTTTTCTGTTGACTCACAGTTACTGGGGACTACTTATCTGCTCCACTTTCCCTTAGGAAACTTAGAGCATTTTGAGCGCCTCTCCTTCACATTAACACTAGTGTGCTATTTGGAGTCTGGAGGCCTTGGCTACTTTAATTACAGCGGGTGATGAGAGAAGACTTTCAGACTCTGACTCTAGGGATATTTTTAGATCTTGATTGTCTAAACTGGGGTTGGGCTTTTTCCCCCCAGTTGTTAAATCAAAGGGCAATAGCCCCCCAAAACAATATACCGGTATACACAGAGTACAGTATTGTCATGTGTAGAATAAAACACATGGTCACAGTAAAGGTGTCTTTGGTTCACTTGTATGGCACTTTATAAATAACCTTTGTAGTTATCATAGATATTTGACTGAAAATAATGAAACTTTATGAAAATAAGGTTAAAACATTGATTTGGTAAGACATGTTGGAAGCTATTAAGATGGCTTTTTCTAGCTTCATTCCAGTGATGGCAAGATTGCAGTACGATTTGCATATTTGGTCAAAACGCAACATTTTTGGCACATCGAATGCACTGCCTGTGAAACGACGTTTGATTTAAAAAAAAGGATCTGCGAGTACAACCCCTGACATCAAAGTTCATGCTCAATAATCCAGGTAAAAATCCAACAAGGTTCAGTCAGGTCAGCTGGACGGTTTCTTTTTTTTTGCTGAGATGTTTCATTCTTCATCCAAAGGACTTCTTCGGTTCGAGGAGCCACAAACAAACCGAGTCCCACAAGCAGCGCACTCCCATAGTGGGGGAAAAAAGCAGTTTGCTGGTGATAAGATGGTTTCTGGAGCCCACCATCTCCTCCATCAACTCCTCTGAGGCAGCCAAAGTACAAAGTACAAGGTACAGTTACTGACCGTACATACTTGACAAAGAAAGACCGATTTACTTAAAAAAATGAGCTCATACTTGGTTTGGATGGACCAAATAGGCAGTAGACTTAAGATTAATTAATAAAAAAAGTTTTTTAAATATTTTTCAAGATGTCTTGTTTGTATTTGAGATTGCTGAGAGCCTAATCTTGATGGTTTAAGGCAGAGATGGGCAACACCTTTTCCTGCCATCCATCTTGAGTTACAAGAAGGAACTGGAGGGACACGCATTGAACTGAAATGTTCATCTCAGTCATACACAACATATTGTCATTAAAACTTCACAATAAAAAATGACTTTCTCTGTTTACTTTTTATAAGACCATACTTTGAACTGATTTGTGAGCAAAAAATGCAAGACATTTGAATTTCTTAGCCCACCCTTTCCATTAATGATAAGGTTTTAGAACAGTTATTAATACAAGTCAAAAATATATATTTTGATATTAGACTTCTTGATCTCAACATTCTTTTGGCATATCAAAAGTATTGTCAGGAAACTGAGACTTGACAAAACGTTCAAACGTAGATGTTTCATTCAAAGTGAAAATTTTAAAGTAGCAAACTTTAGTTTGGCTTTGAGTTGATCTTATTTTTATATGTGAACACTGGGGGGCAGATTGAGATGGTTGGCCATGTGTAATTTAACCCTCTGCTGCTGTTTGTTCTGATACAAAGCTCTATAACTAAACTCATTTAATAAAAACAATATTTCAATCAGTCAACACTAAATTTATAAAATATTTCTGGATGTATAAGTTCAGTATTGTTTGTTCACATATTTCCATCTCTTATTTTATAAACCTATGGTCGTAGAACAGCAGGCATTATTTAAGACTTTTAAACTTTTTGTCTTTAAAGTCAGAGATGCTTCTGTGTTTGTTGTCAGTGGTTAATAAATGACTAAATGCGTAGCAGGTTGTTGTTAGCGGTGAGGGCCTGCTGAGAGTCTGTGGAGGGGTTTTCAGAAACAATCTTTAAATGAGCCTTGGATAATGAAATCCTCTCAAACGTTCAGCCAGCTCATCTGGACGGTTTCTTTTGTTGTGCTGAGACGTTTCGCTCTCCATCCAAAGGGCTTCATCAGTCTGAGGAAACACCAAACAAAACTGAATCTCCACCAACAGCCTTCTCCAAAGTGGAAAAAACCAAACCAGTTATGTTGGTGCTAAGATGGCCTCTGGGGCCCGCCCTCTCCTCCGGTGCCCGCCCTCTCCCTGGTCGACAGTCATGCCAAACTGGTTCAAAACACCAAAGTCCATGCTCAGTATTTCCAGGTCCAGATGACCTGACTGAACATTCTTGGATTTTATACCTGGATTATTGAGCATGCACTTTGGTGCTTATGGAGAAATTCACACAACTACAAGAAATGTTTGTTCATTTATCAAAATAAAGAAACAAACAAACAAAACCACATTTCCCCTTTCGGCTGTATTTTAGATCCAACCTGACTTGTATATTGTAAAATAAAAACTTGCTGTCTGCACTTTTAATTGGAAAGAAAGAGTGTCTCGGTCTATTTGCGGTCTGGTGCAATGTTGGAAATGCCAGCTGTCGGCTCGGTATCAAAGCCCGACTGGAACAAACCATTATTTGGCACGTCCCTGCAGCTGGTTGAAATATGCTACATGACTTACTCTGTCATACACTGCTGATTCTCTGCTCTTAACAGGATTAACATATCTAGGACAGAAAGTTGATGAATATTAAAAATACTATTGCTTTACTATGAACCAGTCTTTAAACAAGCCTCAGAGATAGACTTGTAAACTTTTCTTTAAAACACTTCTCTGTGTCGTTGAAAACTGATCTGAGCGAAGAGGCAAAAGTCCCTAACACCTTCTGCCGTGATGACTGACAGCTGTGTCTGATCCAGAGAGCCCTGAGCCAAGCCCCACCACATAACGCATGCCCGGCATGTCTGTGTCCATCATGGGTCCCACTCTTCAAACTGCTCCCCCCTTTTGCTTTCTGCTCATAGAGAAGCCAAGGGACAAGAGTAGAAACAGGGTGTAAAGACGGGCCTTGCAGGGCTCAAGGGGGACACATCCAAAGCCAGCTGGTCTGGCTTTGAAGGAACTCAATGGACGGAAAAACACAAAAGCAGCAAAAGGCAGAAGAAAGGTTGTAAAAAGGAAGAAGGAAGGTTGTAAAGCAAACTGAAGGAGGAGATAAAGAAAGTCAAGCAAGAGGAAAGGTGAACGTTAGAGCAGCTGGTTCTGTGAAGGTGTTTGTGGTAAGACAGGTAAGACACGTTTAGGTTTTCACATTTATATATAAGGCAATGCTAATTTTGATTCTATTTCTTGCATAATTTCTTAAAATTTAACTTAATTAAAATAACTGTATATGAAAATTATTATTGCCAAAGTAGCATATTTACTTGTATGTTAATCCACTATGCTCAGGTAAAACTTAATTACATGGTTTAAATAACTACTTTGTTGACTTTTTTGGTTGCTTGCACTTTTTAAGAGTTCAAATAAAATGGCAGAGGCCCCCCCCCCCCCCCCCCCCCACCACACAAAAAAAACACAAAAACTCACCAATACAATAAACAAACACACATAA